CAGGGGGAACAAGCTATTAGTGCTAGCGTTGGCATGAGAACAAATGGGTTTCTGTTGGGCATGAATAAATTTAGGCTTGGAAGTAGGAGGATTTACTTAGTGATTCTAACCACGAGCTTATGAAACAGCTTTCCAGTGGTAGTAGAAGGGCAAAACCCCCAATTACTCTTAAATACAATGTATGGACTGTACAATGGATAGCCAGTGGTAGCTGGGGGCTGCACTTGATGACTCCAGAGATCTCTTGCAGTCCTCTTCTGCCCTATACAAGCGTGTCAGAGAATGAATGACGATATCTTCCCTTCCCTTTCCAAAGGTGCTCTGGAATAGCTGCAATCTAGCTTTTTTAGAACCTACCACTTGGAAATGTTTGATCAGCTGTGGCAAGTCTTTGGGATATGAACTCAATGTATTTATTTTGAAGGATATAAAAATCAAAGTACATATTTAAGTAAGATTTCCCCTGCCACCCCATCTTACTTTCCTGACATTGCTTTTACATTTTACCTCACAAAAAGTGAAACAAGCTAGCAAGAAGGAGGCTGCTGTCACAGCCACAGTTAAAAGTGCTTGCTTATCAGAAGAGCAGCATTTTTTTTCCTGCTGGTGGCATATGTTTTACTTGCTAAGTATATCTGTATCAGAACAGTTGACAATTGTGTTCTAGGTAACCTCACTGACCAGCATGTTTCTGCTGCTGCTCTATCTCTCAGTAATAATTTGGAAAATATGGTGAATAATTGGAGCTTTTAGTATTGTAATATTTCCATTGATGGCATAAACCCTCACTGCAATATCTTGTATGAAATTACCTATATGTGGTTGTTTAAACACTGCTGAGGAATCCTACTAAACAGCTTGTAAAATCCTTTGCCTATGAATGCTTAGTTAATTATACAAGAGGACACGGTGAATTAATTCTGAAATTAGTCTGTCATGGTTTGTTCAAAATAATTTTTCCTGCAATCAGAATTAAATGATTGATGCCGAGTTGCACCTGGATGCAACTTGAACTGCAATTAATGAACCTTCTGACCCATTTGATATTAGCAGCCCAGCTGTGTTCCCTTTCCTTTCCTGCTGAACATTGGTAAGATATATTCTTTTTATAATCTTACTTTCTTCACTTAACCTTAACATTTCACAGGGGTGAGGGGAGGGGGCTGGCAAGTATATCCTAATTACTGTGTATAATGTACCCTGAAGTGGAACATAGAGTACTCGCGAAAGAGTTCATTTGGGCAGTACCTCTGGTGAACAGAGTTATTAATGATGATGTGTACACAGATCTTGGTAAATGAGTGACAGTTCTGAGAGAAAACTGGAATTTTTACTGTATTTTATTTTATAGTATTATTGTGTTTAAAATAGTGTTATGCCCAATATTGTACATAGTTACACTATTGTACATGGAGGGGAAAACTGGGGTTAGGGCTCTGTTGAACTACAAAGTAAGTAAGGAGAAAGCTCTTCCTCCTGAAGTGCATTAGGTTGAAATAAAGAAGATGAAAAAGTGAAGACTAATGGAAACCCAGTTCTGTTAGATCTACAGTTTGAAAAGTGATGCTTGCTTCTGAAGAATCTAGAGTCAATGCTCTGTTTCCTGAACCTGTCTCTTGCATTTTTCACATTACTGTATCACTTACTGCTTCCTCCCCACACACCCCCTCAGTTGCTAAAAAATATTTAAAGAACCTAAAAGAAACAGAATAAACGAAAAGTACTTATTTTTATGACTAAATACTGGTTTGCTGCTGCATTGTTAGGTGGTGGGACGTGTAGCAAGAGATGGTCTTATAATTAAAAAAAGTATTCTAACAGCCCTTCAAATAGCAATATTCTCTCACTCTACTGACTGAGGAACCCTTTGAGAATAGCTGAACATGACGAATCGGTGAGTATTCAAACATGTATGATTAAGAAAAGAAGTTATACTAATGCAATGCATTGTTCATTGCAATTATCAGGTTTTCTTCTAAGTATAAATTATCCATACTTACACTGCATATGATATAAAGTAAAGAAATATGGGTGACATGAAGTTTCAGTTCAGCTTTGTCTTAGCCGTTAACCTCCTGTTGAGAAACAGAGAATGGATACCACAGATTACAGGTTATGTGGATTAGTTATGTGCCAGCTAATGAGGTTCTATTGTTAAATGTCCCCTATGTAATTACTGCTTTTTAGACTTGCAGTGTGCTTGGTACCCCTCCTAGAGCTCTTAGATTTCTTCTGTTATTTACAGCACTGGTGGGGTTATTTGCTACTGCAAATAAAAAGGAAATTTCTCTTAACAGAGATCTGTAATTTTGTCCTGTGTCTGTACAGCACAGAGCACAGCAGGTCATTGGCCTACGGCTGAGCCTGCTAGTGCTACAGTAATATGAATAAATCATAATCAGACGTGACTACTCCCCTTCCTTGAGAGCAGAGTTCAGCAATGGCTGCTTCTGCTGTGCTGTTTGTGCTGCCTGCTCCCCATGGCATTTGTACCCCTTCATTGCCCGAGGTCAGTCAGGAGCTGCCCAATTGGTGTCACCTGTTATTACCAAAGTGACTGACTATGCTAGTGCTGCTATGATAATCCACGCTTCTGGTATTTTGTTTTCAGACATCTGCAGTGCAATCTATCTGGGATTATTTCATAGTGGCTTTCAAACTTGAAAGCAAGTTTAAAGGAAAAAAAAAACAACACAAAAAGCAGCTGTCATTCCTAGTGGGGTACTTCATCTTGAGCTGATTATGTTTGGTGAACTGCATATGACCATCTGAAAGTTTGTAGCAGGTTTATGAGGCACAGCTTAAACTACATGCCCAGGGCCTGAGAGACTAGGCATATCTGCTTTATATGGTTATTCAGGTTATTACTTCTGCTGCAGGCTTGTATGTGAGTTAAAAGAACTTTAGAAGATCTTTACCCTAGACAACCTTGGTAGAAAGAGGCAATCATTATTTCCTCCGCTCAAAATCTGGCCACCAAAATTAAGAATTGATTTTTTCAGAGCAGATGTTTCTAGCATTCATCGTTGCTAGTCTGGGGTTTTTTTTCATGTGTAGCGTAAGTTAGTTTCTGGATTTCTTTTCTTAACTGCATGGTCATTCTACTCTTTTGTTCTTTGCTCTAAAATATTTTTTAATTGTATTTATTTATTTTAGATCTAGCTGCACTGACATAACTGATCCTTTGATCTGTTTATATGTTTATGGGAAGAAACAGGAACTGCTGTTGGTTGAAATGTTCTAGTGATATGTAATGATGAGGAACAGCTGGCCTGGGTGGGCTGCATGGAAAATGTCTGGGAACATGAGTCTTAAGGGAGACCATTTTATATAGAAAATTGATACAGCTTTCTCCCTAGACCCAGAGAAATTCTAAGGGACGTTTTCTGTTCTTTTTCACACCTGGCCATCCCATGGGTCTGTCCCTTCTATGTGTTTGTCTGCTGTCACACACCTAGATTTGAGTTTCCAGAAGCAGCATCTATTTGCCCAGCAAGAGAACTCAGAATTAACTTTTTAAAAAAGGAATAACACTACTGCTATGAAGTAGTCTGCATTGTAGTTTTGATCTGCTTATATTTTTTAAATTAAAAATGATAATTAATTCAGGCTGGAATGTAGAGAAAATTATGCGAAACAGAGAAAATTCCTATCTTTCTGGAAATCCATGTGGTATATACTCAGATTAAAAAGAATAAAAATACAAAGCAATATCCAGAAAAAAAAAAAAAAAAGGAGAAACATCTTTATTTCCTCAGCAGCAAGACTTGCACCAAAATGAAACATATCTATTCTTGGATATTAGAAGTCTGCTGGGCAAAATGTTTGCTAAGAACTCCATATCTAAACCTGTCTCTGAACTCTGGTTTTTTGATTCCTTAAGTCATGGAATGAATACAAAGCAGCAGATTCCTCTTCTCATATCTCTTCGAAGTTATTTTTATCTTTGCAACTATTCTTCATATTGGTGGTTCACCCCAGGCATGCTGGACTGAAGTATGAGAGGTACTATTCACTGCACAGAAATGCACTAATCCTTCTGTTGATGGTCCAGGCTGTCTGCTGCTGAACACAGCAGGCCAGAGCGGATTTACACCAGGTCACAATCTGACTATGCACCTCACTGCAGTCCTTCTCTTTGTTTATTGTACACTTGTCCATTTTCTTTGTCGATATACGCACAGGTTTTTTGGTAACATTTGGTTCTCACCTCCACACCCACTTAATTGCAGGTTGGCTGCAGTCTGTAAGGATGAGTGGGGTCACAGGGACTGAAGAAGTGAGAGGGTGGGATGCAAACTATGAGCTGGAGACGTTGGGAGGGAGCGGAGGGCAGCCTGGAGCTCCTGCTTGGAGCAGGAGCTGTTCCTGGGAAGGGTCCCTTACCTCCCTCTGTAGCAGCTGGGGACTGCCAGCTGTGAAATGGCTCACTTGCAGAACCGCCCGAGGCGAAGCGACCCGCCTGCCCCTGCTCTCGGAAGAACAAGCTGACCCCGCCACTGTTTCACGTCTCCGGACCCTCCTCCCACCTTTCCTCAGGGCTGCCGGATTTCAAAGTAACTTCACTCTGCGCTAAAGCTCTTTAAAATAATTCCCAAGCCGGGCTGTTCGCAGCCGTGCACGCCGCGGGGGCGGGTGCCCCAGCGGTACCGCCCGGGGAGTCGCGGACCCGCTCCTGGCTGCCGGTTCAGCCCGTCCAGGCGCACCCGCGGGACCCCACGGTCGGGAGCGGCTTGTGCGCGCAGCTGGCGGCGGTCACCCCGCGGGCGGGCGGGCGGCACCACCTGGCTTCTCGGCGGGACCCGTGACGGGCGAGGCGCGCCCCGCCCCATGCCATCCCATCCCATGCCATCCCGGTGCGCGGTCCCGGCGGCAGCACATCGGACAGCGGCGGCCCCGCCCGGCCCCGTGCGCGCGTGCGCGGGGCCGCGGGGCCGGAGGCGGGCGCGGAAGGTGCGCGCGCTGCGCCGCCCGCCCGCCCCCGCGCTGAGGTGCCGGCGTTGTCCCTCACGGCGGCGGCGGCGGCGGTGGCAGGAGCCGGACGGGCGGTGCCGCCGCGGGGACCCGCCCGCCCCGCTCCGCCCGCGCCCCCCGGGCACAGCCCGCCGGCCGTGAGGGCTGTGCCGCGCTGCCCCCCCGCCCCGGGGCGCTATGAGCCATGAAGCCGCCCGGCAGCATCTCCCTGCGGCAGCCTGGCTGCGGTGGCCGCTGCCGCCCCGCGCTCCTGCCGCTCCTCGGCCGCCTCGTCTCGCTGCTCCTGCTCCTCCATGGCTCCTCCTGTCCCCGGGCCCGCGCGGCTGCGGCGGCCGCCGGTGGGTATGGTGGGGGTGTATGTGCGTGTGTGTGTGTGTGTGTGTGTGCGTGAGGTGTCTGCGGGCCCCCGTCCCCCGCCATAAACCCTGGCAACATCCATTTACCCTCAACCATCCTTTCATCCCTCCCCGCTTCCAGCTTAGTGTACGTGTCTGTACACGTCCCGTGTGTAAACCCGGGGCTCGGCTAATATTCCCTCGGTTTGCTTGCACGAAAGAGAGGTACGTGCGGTGCCGGTGCTGCAGTGTGTTGGGCAGGGATGCTGTGCGTGGACAGCCGCCGCTGAGGGATGCGACACAAAAAGCTGGGGTGGGCTTTGTGCGTGTCACGGCGCGTGTGGACGGGGATCTGCTAATTTGTCAGTTCGGGATCGGATTTTCTTGCGTTGCTTTGTTGTTTATTTGCTGTTGATTGCACGTAGATGGCATGTGGAAGGTGAATGTAGCCGGTCTGTGCATCGTGTTATTACTGTTATTACACTGCTGTTACGTTGTAATATTGTTATATTGTTACATTGTGTTGATTGACTGTATCTTGAAATTTTAATGAGGAGGGATACAGGATTTCGTTTGGAAAGCTGCTACCGAAGAAAAGAGCTCTCGTCAAAGTTAAAAGAAGTAGAAATCAATTCACCTTACATAATAGGAAGTTTAGCATTCAGTGCACATGGAGTCTGAATTCAGTTTGCCGTAGAAACATGGGGAGTATTCTTAGCCTTTTGTAGATTTTTTTTTTTTTTTTTAGTGAGAGAATTTAGCTGTCAAAAAAGGTGTAGGGCTTAACTACATATCCATTAAGTGTTTTTTGGAGGTTGGGAGGCATTAAAATATTTGTAATCTGTGTATGTATATGATAATATACATGCAATAAAATGATTTCAGAAAGAACATTATTTATTTAATGTGTGAAAAATGAATCGGATCTAGCTCAATGAGTAAGCTATCTTTTTGTTTGCTTGAGTGATTAGTAAAATGTTAGAAAACTGCAAGCAAATATGTAGCTTTTTAATGGAAATAAACACATTCTGCCATCTAAATTATGGCTGGCATATCTTTCTTCCCCAGGCCTGCATTGGAATGAAACAGCAAGCGGTATAGAGGGAGAACTGGCAGATGAAGAGAATACATTTCAACAGAGTAACAGCAGTAACAGTAAAAATAACAGCTACAGCAATGCAATACAGAAAGAAATCACACTGCCTTCAAGACTAATCTATTACATCAACAAAGACTCTGAGACCCCTTACCATATCCTCGATACTAGGGCAAGGCACCAGCAAAAACATGACAAGGTAGAGTAAAAAGAGGCTCATCTGCAGAATTTTCAAAACAGTGATGTGTGGTGTGGAACTGTGTGTGTTTAAGTCTGTAGATCTTCGAGACTTAGTGGTGGTCCTTACCACCATTTTTAGGAATTAAAGGAGGACACGTAATTAAAGCAAGAGTGTAATTTCCCTTGTGTTAACATAAAAATAATTATTTTCAATTTCAGGATGGTTCAGAAGCTGAACTGTAGATAAAACGAATGGGAATTATGCAAATTTGACTTGTCTGATCAGCACAGATTCTGGTGTTTTCACTTCTGGTATACCATCATCAACAAAATGCTTCTTCCCAGATAGCTCTAGACTGCAGAAATGCCTGCACAGGGAGCTTCTTTAGAATCCTGAACTTGCAGCATGAGTTACTTAGCTGTGGGTGTACCATGCACTGCCTAATAAATGCAGTATTAGTTTCCTGCCAGTGTATGACCACTGAAGACCATTGTAAAGCGTTACCGTTTTTTGTCAAATAATACCCTCATTCTTAATTTTTAATGACAAGATCTAATATTCCATTTTGTACAGATGCAGACAGTAAGTTGTTTGTTGGTTTTTTTTCTGAAATTGTGTGGAATTGAACAAACCTTGGCTTTGTGGAATAACTTAGTAACAAAGTAAATGTGTCTAAACTATATGACTCAGGATGTACCCTTTAGAATGATTCCATCCTATTTTTATGAATTTTTATTTAAAAAATTAATTCCTTCCTCCAGGATAAAAGGTAAACTGAAGGTAAAGATGGTTTGAATAGGAAGAGATTACCATGGTAGACAAGAGACAGCAATGCAGATCAGTGTCTATGGTATTACTGAAGGACTTAGCTATAATGGAGTTCCTACCTATTAAATTGCATTTCTCTTGAAATTTTAAACAATGAATTTAATATGCATTATATATGCTTTTGTTGATATTGATTATGTGCCATTTCAGATGTGGAATTAATATGGAGGCACTGAATAATCTTTGAAAAAAAAAAATGAGATAGTTGTATAGTTTTGAGGTTTTAAAAGGAAGAGGGGTTTCTTCCTAGCTTATTATTACATGGATACCACTATGTGCCTTTGGATGCATCTAAAAACACCAATATGTTATGGATGGCACAGAAAAGCTATTTGATTGTTGGAAACGATCAAGATACCTAAGAGAATACTACATTCAGAACTAATACCCCTTTAAAGTGAGACCAGTTTTTATAATACACTTAAAACACTAGGGGCTTGCTGTTCCTCTCTTTGGAGATGGGTGTGGGAAGAAAGGAATTTACAAGTGCTTGCAGACCTACCTTTGGGAATAATTCTTCCTCCGTGTTTCTAGATGTGTTTTTTTGTTGGGAAGCCATAGAGGAGAATATCCACCAATCTCTTCGCTTACCCAGCATTGCCCACAAGAATGTTGCTGCCATTGCCTATCCTTCCTATGCCCTACCTTGTATCTACCTGTTGGGGTAAAGCTCTGCAGAAATCGGTGCTGACAGAATGGGTATTGATTTCCTTGAGCATGCTTGCTGCTGAGTATTCTGTAAAGTGGATCTTCTTTCTACTCACTGTGTCCCTTTTAAGCATAGGGAACGCTAATGCTGCAGTTTTTCCCCGCAGAAGGGTTCTTTAATCTTGAGTCTTTATGGAGAGTGATACTATGTTGACTTCATTCTTCTGGAATGAAATTTCTATTGTTTTGATCCGTTTAATAGAAGGAAAGGGTGGATTATGTTCGTTGTCTGGATGGATTTTTGCATGTCTTGCTTCCAGATCATCATACTTGACACCTTCACCCCGAACTTGCGTCTTGTACCTTTCCTTCCATGAAGCAATTTCTTTGCCCTTTCATCTATTTTACCAATAATATAATAACAAATATTTTGTTCTGTTTTAGCTATTTTGTTCTGTTTACTATAACCTTCTCTGTGGAGCAATAATTTGGGACAGGGGAAAGTCTGCCAAAGGTGTAAAACAAAAACAACCCAAGCAACCCATAAACAAAATAGAATGCAATTGATTGTGAAAGATACACGAGGGTTTTGATTTAGGGGGAGGATTTTTTTAGTACTTGCTTTTATCCTTTCCCAGAGTTAAAATAGATGCTCTATTGTAATAAGTCCTGCTTGTGAGATTTTGATTACTTCCACGCTGGTAATAAATAGCCAAAATACCTTTATAGTTAGGTAAAGGTCTATTTAGGATTGATTTTTTTCTTTCTTTTTTTTTTTTTAGCATTGGAAAAAAGTAAAGACAGATATGATGGCCTGATATATGGATACAGTGGACGGTTGAGGGGAAAAAATACCATTTTTTCTTCTTTTACTGTTCTTGTGGATCTACTCCCTAAGTATGGATATTATTCAGTAGATGCCTCTCTGTGGAACTTCACTATGGTGGCCAGAATATTATAAGTCATATGTCTAGTTAATGGGATTAGGCCTGAATGCCTCAGAAATGCTGAGTCACTATGAGGAGAGAGTGAGAGTAGAGGAAATTGTGTGCATGTGGAAAGGAAGTAAAGCTAGGAATATATAATTATGTAAAATTATTTAAAATATTTTTAAAAGTCACATCCTAAAAGTAAGGATCTGCAACCATCTTCATGAAATGTTGGTAGAAAGGAAAGACTGGAGGAGAAAACAGTGTACCAGAGAATCAAAAATTTAAATAAGTTACTTTCTTAGCACTGATTCTCTCTATCCCCTTTTGGTGAAACATCATCATGTTGAGGAGGTGTACGTGATCAAAAATGTTGGTAGACCCTCTTTCATTCCTTCTTCTTGGAAGAAGCTTCTTATCACAGTTGAAAGAAAGAAATGTTCACCATAGTTTTGATGAAATGATCTATCTCCAAGGGGGACAGAGTTCTCGTGTATATTCAGTTTTTGCTTTATGCTCTAAAAAAAAATAGATTTTAAATACTTGATGCTTGAAGACTCTAAAATCTGTATACCTGTTTCCTCATAGTCAAATTAAGGCTAGCTGGTTTTGAGTTCTTCTGAAGTTATTTTTAGTGCAAAATGCTCAAAAATGAGCATCTATTTATAAAAACAGACTGAAGAAGCTCACAGAAATCCTTAAACTTGCTGAAGAGGTCTGAGTCATCTGTGTTCTATCTTTTTAAACATCTGCAGATGAAGGTAGTGTTTTGAATGAACTGGTAAACTCTTTATTGAACCAGATGACTGCTTTGGTTCATTGTCACAGGCTACATACACAAGATTTTTAGGGGGCACAACTTGTCACAAAAGGCTAGGAGCAAGTCCTTATGGTGGCCAGCAGAGCGAAAAATCCTGCAACACAAGGTGTGGTCTAAAGATAATAGGATTGCTGGAGAAACAGCCCAGGGCAACCTTAGCAAATTTTGAGTGGAAAATAGCTTGAACTAGGTGCATATGAAAGAAGACTCTATCCACTGGACAGTTTTTCTGAATCACAAATTTTCAGAAGCTGTAAAGAAGCAATGTCTTCATGCATAATTCTAAGCTCTTAGTTTAATTTCGGGGAGGAGAGAGGCGTTAAGAAAACTGTTTTGCAGGCTCTAAAGACTGGGGAAAAAATAAGCTAGAGTACTTTTGACTGTGAAAACAGTTCCACCTTCCTCCCCCAAAAATTACATTTATTTTGGTCTATTTTTCATGGGGTGAAAACTCCAGGTGCTTCTGGTCAGCTCAGCTGTTTGTCATTTAAATAAAGAAAATATTCCTACCAGCTGCCCTGCTTTAATAGTTGAGATGCAGTGCTGTCTCAATCCTCTATGTAATTTTGGTATGTAGCATATAAAAATTGGCTGGGAAAGCATCCTTAAGATGAAAGGAAAACAACTGTATCACAACCGTGTCAAAGGAGGTGGTCTTTTGTAAAAGATGAAAGGTCATGATTAGTAAACGCTCAAGAGGTGGCATCGTGAACTTTTACTAAAATCCAAATAAAAAACCTCTGTGCTGGTTATTACCTTCCCTTTACTTGCCTATTTCAGGCCAGGTCTTCACTTATAATCCCCACGTAAAGAAAACTGATCAAAATAATGACTGAAATTCATGTGGCTTATGTGTATAAGACTATTGGAGAATCTTTGTAGTATTTCAGCTGGCTTTGCTTTTTTCTTTCAGAATTTTCTGTGGTGCAGCTTCAGTTTGCTCTCTTGTAAGTGGATGATTGTGTGTACTTTGTATTTTTTTCTATTTCATATTGAATTTATGTTAATGCAAAAGGCTTATCTGGACTCTGCGTCTTCAGTGGTTACTGACTAATAGGAGGGTGCAATTGGTCTTCCTGTCTTTGGTTTCTGGGCATAGAAGATTTTCCTTATGCCAGATCTTTGTTTCCTAGTTGAAATGTGGGTCATGATATTTCCACAACTTTTTAAATCCTTTTTTTTTTAAATGTATTTCTGGGTCCTCTCATAAGCTTCACACAATAACCTATAAAAGGTTTTGGTTCCTAAGTGTTAGGTAGCACAACACTTGTACTTGTTATGCCTTGATCTGAAATAAAAATAAATTAAGTCTGTAGGTTTTCTAGCATTTGTGGGAAGCTGGGTACTGCAATGGATGTACTATTTTGTAGTCTTATGAACAAAACTTCAAGAGCGATATGGTTTTGGAGGCCAATGTCACCACAGATGGGTATCTAGGTACTGTCATGTTGGGAGAGAATAGTGAGTTCTGGCCCCTGGGATTATAAGCACAATAGTAGGGTTGTTTCCAGAAGCAGGGCTGGGTCTTTATTCACATGCCAGACAACCATTCTTTCAAAGAACAGTCTTCCAGGCTTGGGGTTCAAGTGCATCAAACTAACTCCTCTGTTGTTAGTCGTTAAAGACCAGAAACAAATCATTAACAGGAAGTTTTCTGAAATGCTGTATGTTTTAAGTGTGAGTTTTCATATGCTGCTGTGACATTTATGTATGCTGTTTCAATATGAAATGCTTTATTTCCAAAGAATAGTGGTATATGTGTCTTGGTATATGTGCAGTGTAGTAGAGGTTAACCAAACACTAAAAGAAGGATGGTTTCTGTATGAAGTCAAGGATGGGCAAACAAGCTAAAATAAGGATAAGGAACTAATATATAGTGAGTCATGTTCATTTGTGACAGCACTTGTGCTATTACCAGGATGAAGGTCTAGAGCAAAAAATGTTTTAATGGTGTAAAATCCACTTAAATCTGACTTAAATTTCTACTTCTAAAATGAGACTGATGAAACCCCTTGCTCAGCTTCTGCACTCAGAGAGATGGCTTTTGGCCATTATTTTAGTCAGCAGAACTGTATGCAAAAATACATTTCTAAAAGCAGTGAGCTTGTCCTTTGGAGATAATATCTGTATGAATATAACAACCCATAGGTACCATCAGTCTGTTAAATAATGCTGCTACTTTTGTTTAAAGACTTGTGACAGAACTTCATATTTTTGAAGGAATAACACATTATTGCATTTGGCATAGTTTTACTGTGAAGAAAGTAAAACCATGTAGTACTTTAGTTTTGGTTGTAAAATTCCTGGAAGTTTGGAAAAAATGAATTATGGACAAATGATGGCTAAATGCAATAATGAAAACAATCAAGTTGTGACATAGATCGGTAGAACTGAGATTCCAGTTACAGCCTGTCCACCTCCATCTTGAAACCAACTGTAAGCTAATGACTGATTTGAAAGAAACTGGAGTTCTTTATGTATATGGATTTTTAGCTTGGAAAAAACCCTGAGAGCTGCTCTTTGCACAAGCAGCTACAGCACTCTTAGAATGTCCCTAGTATGAGGAATCTCTTATTACAGTGACTACGCTAGTAATCTGAGCTGCCAGAACAGTGAAAAGAAGACTTTTTTTTTTTTCTCAGTAAAATTTGGGAATGGGGGCAGGTAGAATTTGAAAGACTCAGGCCCTCCTTCAACCCACTTCTCTATACATCATGAGTATTTTTGCTGCAGAAAAATTTTATATAATTTTGTAGCTTTGCCATTGAAGTAGGTTATATCTGTCAAAGCAGGAACCTCTGCAGAGGTTTTTAGATGATAGGCAAACATGGACAAAGGAACTTTGTCTCCTGTTTATGTGAGCAAATACTCATGCAGGTGTGAGCATATACATGTGTGCAAGTGGTACAAGAAGGTGATGTTTAATATTTTTCCTGTGAAATATATATGTTCTTCAAAACATATGCTGATCTATATTATATTCTTGTTTGAATTTGTATTTCTATGCCATTGAGAAGAACACCATATTTCAAATTTTACTTTGGGCATTGTATTACACAGTAGCTGAGGAGAGAATACAGTGAAATTATAAGCTGTAAAACAGATTCACACAGATACTTTTTTGAAATCCTTCCTCCCATCTTGGTATGGTACTTGATGGTTGTAAGGCCTAAAACACGTGGTGATAACTCACTGGTAGCTTTCTGTGTAAACTTGTTGCAGGAAAAAGTTCAGTTTGAGGATTAAAAACTTTACTCTCATTAGTTTCACCTGATTTCTGGTTTATGCCTTTCATGGTTGGTTATCTATTGTTAAACTGGCTTAACAAAATCTGTATTTTACTGCAGCTGTGGTGTATCACATTCACCTGAATTCAAAACAGTGTCTTTGCTAAACTGCAGGGATTTAAAATCCAGTGTTCTTTTTGTAACCAATGGTTTGAGCTGACTTTGGTGGAGAACATGCCCTACTGCAGGGCATCAAATAAGTGTCAGCTGCTTCACAGCAATTGCTTGTGTGTACAGGCTACATCTGTTGTGAGTCACAGTAAGAGATAGCAAGTAGTGTTTTCATGTACAGAAGTAGTTGTTTTCAGAAATAGCAGTGTTGTTATATCTAATTCTACAAGATGAAGTTTTTTTATAATATTGCAAACCAAGAATACAAATTATTTTTAATACTTTAAAACTGCAGAAAGATAAAGAATACATGGTCAATGGCTTAGAAACGTAAAGGGTGATACACAGGTATCATCGAATGGGCTTGGCTGAACAACAGAAAAGCTATAGGGGATCAGACTAGTCATCCATCTAGCTGTCCCTAAGAACAGTCAGATGCCTATGGAGGGATTTATCATGTGTCAGAATGATCTTAATGGAATAGTACATGCTTTTTAAAATTTTCCAGATAGTTGTCACTGAAGTCTTGTTTGTGGCATGTATATGAAGACGCATCATTTTAGGTAAATATTATATGTAGAGGGGACTCAAAGCAGTATCTCCTGTAACTCCAAAGTGGAATCTTTGTGGCATAAAACTAATTACAACCCTCTTCCTGCAACAAATTTTCATGCTTTTTAAAAAAAATTTAATTAGTACCTGTGCATGTTGGAAATATAATGAGGTTTTTGTCATGAACAGGTTCTTGGAAAGCTCCTTGTGACAATTGTTCCTTGATTTCACTCTTAAAAAAAAATGGAGCTGGGGCTTAAAAGCCTCTCCTACTAGGCGTGCATTTAATCTGAGATTCTCTGCTTTTTCTTTCTTTATTTTCTGGGTGTGTGGTTTTGGAGGGTTTTTTGTTTTTTTTTAATGCATATGCTAGCTTTCATCTTGCAGATTCTCTCTTGATTATGCCACTGGTTTGTCTTAATACTTAAACTCAGTTTGTCAGGCCAGTGTTAGCAAATTGGTGAACTGGTGAGACAAAAATATACATTTACCAAAAAATGTAATGGAGAGAAAGCTTGATGCTGGTTTTGGCTTTAGTTAAGAGATTATTTAATGATATTAAAGGTATTTAAAATATTTTGTAACTACACAACTTCTTTTTAAAAGAAGCTTGACAACAAAGCTCTGTGTGACCCTGTTGAAAGGGAAATGATAATTCTGGGGGCAAAGAATGATCAAATAGTAGAGGAAACATCACAACTGGTTTTAGTTACAACAGCAACTTTTAGAAATTTTTTTTAAATTATATTGAAGAATTTACTGAAAGATGATGGATAACTTTACTGAGAAATAAGATGAAAATCAGTGCTGCTCCGTGTAGTGCAAGAATGGAAGAGCAACATGAAGAGCTTATCCTTTGTGGAAAAATTTCCAAAGGAGAACAAAGTTGTAGACTTTATTGGCCTACAATTTAAGTTATGCCATAAACTAGCTAGAACTTGATATAGTTTCTGTGACATACCTGAAATGAATAAAAATAGTATCTTTTTGTCTTTTGATTAAAGGGCTTAGTCATAATATTCCAATTTTGTGTAATTATTAATGCTGTATCAAATTAGTGTATAAGTGGACATGATTTGATTAGAACATTATCAGGAAAGAGATTCTATGAAATTCAGATCTAATCTCTTCAACCCTGCTGGAACAGTGTCTTCAAAGGAAATTCCTGGATCATCTCTTACCATCTCCTTATTTTTCTAGAAAACAGAGAAGCGTGTTTTAAATGTCTTTGTCTACAGTTACGACAGTATAGAGAAGAATAAAGAATACAGTTTATGCATCTGACAAGAACTGAATATCCTGAAAGTTAAACTTAACTCCTTATGTGAGACAAGCTAATGTTGTTGTTTTTGTTGTCGTATGTCGAGCAGCATCAGTATTCTGAATATTGGTTTAGCTACAATGCAAAGTACAAAGCCATTAATTGTGAAGGGATTACTTTGAAGGAGTCTTTCATAATGTGTAATACCAGCCTTGCCATGATTTTAGTATTTGAAGGTGTATATTACAAATGCTTTAATTATTTCAGGCCTTTTAAAGGGAATGAATGCAATAACTCAATTAAAAGAACACTACACTGCATTACTTATGCTTTTATTACATAGCCATCTGGTTATGGCAAAATACAGACATTTGTGTGAAACTTTTTTTTTTCTTTTTTCTTTCTGTGAGGAATGAGTGTGTATTTGAAATCGTGCTTTGCAGGTACCATTTGCTTCTCTCGATCCTCTAAAAAGGATTCCTTTTGAATCAGAATATGGTACAAGGGCAAAAGTTTTCACATGCCTATGAGATTCATTAAAATAAGCCTGTTTTCCGTAACTTTGTTTTTCACAGTCACATTTGTTGCATATAAATCTCAGTGAATCTTTTGACAGCTGTGTGTTCCTGTTTACAGGCTGTACATCTGGCCCAGGCAAGTTTCCAGATCGAGGCCTTTGGCTCCAAATTCATCCTTGACCTCACATTGAATAAGTAAGTACATGACTTGAGGTTTCTTTTGTTTCTGCTCTTATCTTTAACTTATGGTACAAGATATGCTGCTATCCAAGTTTATTAATGTAAAATAACATTTAACTGTTTTTATGTGAGGTAGCAGTAACCCTTGCTGACACCCATAGCATAGATACCTTTAAAATTTTATTGTTTGTGATAAAATAAGTTATGATAGATGGAGAAATTCCAGTACTGGTAGTGTTTGAAAGGTGTGGATTTTCTTGTGCTTCTTTTGTGTAGGAACACTGTAAAAACTTGTATGAATGGGTTATCTTTAATGATCTGGAAAACACGCTGTTGTCACTGCAATCATGAAGTTCCTGATGAAGTAGGAATCTTGATGATGTGGCTGTACTGAAAGGTACAGCTAGAGTCTGTTTACCTGTGAGAGGGACAATTTTACATAATCGTGAGGTCTAGAAGATCTGATTTGTAATACATACAGGTCAGCGGTGGTTTAGTTGTTTGTATCACATGTGCTTTTATATCCACTGCTGAAGGTATGGAAATATGTGATTTTTCTAAAAATTGTAATGAAGTTTTTTTTTGCCACAGAAAGTTTAAGAATAAGGTAGAAGTATAAAATCAGTACCGAATACTGGATAGGTAAAATTATGTACAGTAATGCTTAAAAGTGCATTTGGCCCTTCTACTGCCCTTGAGACTTTCAGCATGATTAAAAAAGGAGAAACAAATTTACAAAAATTGCTTACGGGTTTAAAAAACTCAGTATGTTCCTCTGCTCTTGGGGTTCATATGAGGTCTTATTTTGGTCTTGACTGTCATGTAATGGAAGTTTTATTAGGGAGAAAAATGCAAGCTTATTAAATCTAATAGCTTTTCAAAGCAGCATTTATAAAATTTGCAGAACTGTTATATTTGTGTATTTTGCTGCTTGGCTGCTAATTATCAGATGTTTTGCTGTAAAGGTGAACTGGAAACATTTTCCTTCATCCATGCATAATTTTGGCGTTAAGTTGCTCTTGCATTTTGATCTTTCAAAAGGTTATGTGAAATCTTGAGTGGCTGGCAAAAGATGAGTTAGTGCAAAGGCTGGGAATGTCACACAGAACTGAAGGAGAAAGAACACTTGAAGATAACTGTGCATTCTCTAGACTCTGGAAGAACTGTATTATAGTACAAGGCTGTTGTTTTATGAGGGTTGGACCCGTGCTTATTAATTCCAGTGGATAATCATGACATATTTGTGAAGGGAATGTATATTTAGTGACCTCTAAGCTACAGGGAATTTCTTCTCTTAGTGTGCTTGCCACTGTTCCTGTCTGCACGTCCAGCCAGTAGTAAGACTGAGCACACATTCCCAAGGTGGCACTATACGTAGGGTATGGCTGGTCACACAGACAATCCCAGAGGAAAAGCATTGCCTTTACTGGCACCACATATAAATGCAGACAGCACTCAGGTGAATAAGAATACAAACAGCCTGATAAATTTCTTCTCCAGCTCATGAGAATTGGAAGTTTGCTGGTGGAACACATGCACTAGCCCTCTCCTGATTCACAGGCATGCCAGCATTCACTGACTCAAATGTTAACACAGGCTTTAAGTTCATCCAACATCGATGCCTAGGCCTGAAGTGTCTTATTTGGTCACTGGCTTAGGCCTTAGTCGTTGCAGATACAGGTCTCCTTACAGATGTTGACTGACTCTCAAGTTTGCTTGCACATCACACCTATGCAGAATAGAAACCAAAGTCATAAAGGAAATATTGCCAATAGGACTTAACATAGGACAGACTGCAGCGATCAGGTGTGGGCCTGCACCAAACCCACTGTCTTGCATCTTACACTAATGACTCCTTTATATGCCACTTCCTCTCCATTTTCTGACACTTGTTCTGTCCTGATTCACCTTCCCTATCTTTGGCACATCCGCTGAATGTTCCATAAAAGTGATTGCACATATCCACAAGTCCCTGCAGGCATCCTGAAATAAGTTTATTCCTTCCCAGGAGACAAATGATGTTGTTTACCACTTCTTATCTGTTCTAAAGTTCTGGTTGAATCTCTTCAGGGCTATGCCTGAGTGGCTTCTTCCATGGCCCATCAGACAGTGACCTAACAGAGATAATAATGAAGACCAGAACTCTTATCTCCTGTTCATTAGGGCTTGGGTTTTGTTTGCATTTCCTGTCCTAGTCTCATCCTGAATGGCTATTATCCAAATACCATCACAAACCCAGTAGCTTTACATTCCCCATATCCTTGCAGTGTTACCCACTGTCCATCCCTGCTGTTTGTCCTTGCTTATTTTGAACAACAAATGGTTCATAAAGAATATGAATATTTTTTTCTAATTGTGCTGTTTATCAGCAATCAAAAAATGCAGTGCCCTTCACCTCAGAAAGAGAGAGGGAGACTACTTGATGTAGAAGTTCTGCTCTTGTGATATCAGGAATTTTCTTACTGCCTGTACATAAGGTGCAGGGTGTGCAGATGCCGTCCTGGTATCCTTACTGCTTGCCTCTTTATACATTAGCTCTTCTCCTAGCTTCCTAAGTGTTTTTTGACTTATAAATATTTGACTCTTTATCTGGTGCTGTTCCAGAAAATGGCGACTTCAAAAACCCGTCCTATTTTTTGACTGGACGTAATACTCTAAAACTGTAAGTCGTAAAACTTGTAAGATAAATTGTAAATGCCTGTAGACAATGATCTGAAAAAGACCCATTCTCATATTTCAGTTACATTTATGTGTTCAGCAAAATGCTGTCTTTTGCTACGATGTTGGATGACGAGTTTTAGTTGACGTATTGGTATTGCCAATGTCTAGTTAGAAGGAAAGGCAGAACAGCAGGGCCACACTTATTACATGCTACTGGACAAAATAATGCAGTCGCATGTGGAATATGTATTCAAAATCCTCAATACCCTTGTATATGTAGAATTTATATTTGTATCAGTTACTCTATGGTGAGTTAGTGCCACCTATTGTGTATGTATTCTGTATATTTTCATTTTATTCTTCTGGGTTTTTTGAATCTTTTCTAAATGTATAAAGATAAAGTCGAGGGTGGTTGTTAACTCCAACAGGCTCTAGTTTTAAGTTTTGTTTACCTCTGTTGGAATTTGCGTGATTGCCTACTTTCTGTGTTGCAGCTGCTCTTTTTTTCACGGCAAATATTATAACCAGGCAGTGAAGAAATTGGATATTCACTTTCATTAGTAACTGTCAAGATTTTGTAAGAACAACAGGTGGCAATTTAGAAGTTTCTGGAGCATCTTACTATAAAACTTAACTTTCCATCTTGCCATAGTTCAATGGCACAAACAGCTTGAAGGAAATACAAGCCCATCAAACCCTTGAATCCAGTGCACAGAGAAAATTCATACATAAGATTTGTATGGAGTTTGAATGGGTAACCAACTTTGCAGTTGCACAAGGCCTAAACCAGATGAAATATTATTTGTTATCCTAAAGGTGATTGTTGGCAGCTTTTTCTTTTTCTTACCTTTTTTTCAGGAAAAAAGGTCAATTTTTAACTCTTTAACAAGGTGGGCTACTCTGATGTTTCAGACATTTTGCCTCTTGTCACACTTAAATGTTTGACCAATTTCAGGCTGTCAATGTGATGTCATTTCAATGCATAGTAATTGCAGATATGTGTATTATGAAAATAATTCGATGTAAAAACTAATACTTTTTTTAATCTGTAATGCATTAAATAAAGTTTTTAGTTAATGCTCTTAGTACAAAAATGAAAGTTTATAGGATACTAGTGGTGTCACAATCCCATTTGAAAAGTTAGACTTATAATTTAGCTATGATTGTCTGCCCAAACTCAATAAATTCCCTGTGCAATGAGTAACATGTAGCATTGTCTTAAAACACAATTTCTATAAAAAACCTTTAAAAGAATTAATTTCAGTAGGTTCACTTTTGTCCTCAAACAATAATGTCAGTCCATTTGTTGTAACAGTGCACTTGCTAATCAATGATCCTGGTATATCCAAGCAGTTTCTTGTTTTTCATTGATGCATTATATACATAAACAAATGTCTGCGAGGTGCTAGCAAATTAGTTTTTAATGATCTCTTTTCCATCAACACGTAAAAAGCTTTTAAGTTACTGTTCTGTTGAAAGACAAGTTTCTGTGGGTAACTTTTATGTCCTGTTTAAAGGTAGCAGTTTTTATGTTCTGGTGCAGTACTAAAACACATTAAAGAGCAGTACTACCAAAAGCAGTGAATTAAAAATGTCTGCTTGCCGGTTTTTTAATGCTGGGGGAAGTTGACCATATTGTCTGGCAGTTTTCAGACATGGTCTATTCCAGCCTCTAAACAAAGAGGTCTCCACCAGTGCAGGGTGCTGGGGCTGTACTGGAACCTTCAGCACTGGGACTGTGGTGGCTGAGACACACACAAGGAATAGGGAATCAGTTAACTGAGCTGGACAGAAGCAGAAGTTAAAAACCAAAGACAAAAAATTCTCTCCCTTCCTACTGAAAACTTGCCTCAAAATGTAGTATTTTGGGGGAAGGGGACTTAAAAAATCACCAAAACCAGCCTATATTTTCAGCTTTTCCTTCTTTTCTCTGTGGAAGTCCATCTTTCCAGGAAACTGTTTGCAGGAAAATGGATTTTTCGGTGAAGATATCATATGAAAAATATTTGGCATCTTTGGCATGAACTGAGAAAAGCCCAATCCCACTGCATTTTACTGTTACATAACTTAAATATTTGAGATGTTAAAATACGATGAGTATTGTGAAAAGTCAGTTTCTTGTGTGAAGTGCAGCCAACATTACAGCAAATTTTATCTATCAGTTTAAAGCTTATAATTGATGTTTACATTTTTTGGTGTATGTTTCTGTAGGGCTGAATTAACTTGAGAATAGTCCTAGAGGGGGTTACATTGTTAGCTTAATTTTAAAAACAGTAGGGCGGTAACTGTTTATTTGAGAAACTATTTGATTCTCGTGGGGTTTTTTAAATTCTGTTTTAATGGAAATGTGAAAA